ACATGAGCAACCGTATTGTTTTGTCCTGAAGCCGATCAGTTACAGAAATACATACGTCAATGAGATTTTTGGCATGGAAGACGTCAGAGATCTCATAGCCGAGCAGATCCTCTTTAGTTCTTCCAAGACCCTGAATGTTGACATGTTGGACCACCACCTGCAGTCAAAAAGATTGAATTTGTTTTCATATCCCCGTCACGAACAGTATGGATGACCAAGTGTTTTACACACAGAAATGGCTGTAACCTTAAGTTGAACTATAACACACGTTACTGTCACATCTATATAAATACATAAGTATTGTGTTTTTAACTACCACAGTTGCTCAATACTACTATTTTTACTTTGTACACAAAACAAGCTGTGATTATGCTAGTAACAGTACTCCTGTGACTCACATCTTTATTTTCCAGTATCTCCTGCTTTGCCTCCTGCTCCGGTCCTGGAGTCTCCACCAGGTCATCAGGATTGACACCAAAGTCCCGGCCATGCATTGGGAGGGTATCCAGACTCTGCACCAATGATAAGGACGCTGATATAAATGACACTGCATGTGCAAACACAAAGAACCCTGACGGATTGTAATAAATCCCACTTCGTCGTTGCTAGTATGCACACAGAGGAGTCAAGTTGTGAAACTGAGGCCGTGAAGGCGTAACACTTGCACATAATAATTAGGCTGACCACAGACCAGTACAAAGACACGACTAAGTATGGCAGCTGTCATGAAAGAGAAAGGCCGGCAGACAGTGGGTGGGGCATTACGTCAGCACTGGTGTCTGATGCCCTGCACCCACAGAAAGTCACAGCACATGGTGAGTCAGGTCAGACCGTAGTCCACAGATGACCTATAGTTTATTATAATCCGGTACTTGGTATTTTAATAGGCATTACAAAGTGGAATTATAAAAATGATTTGCTAATGAAATAATCAATTGAAAAAATATTTCAAATTAAAAGGGTTACAACTAAATAAGGTCAATCATTTGAAAATAATTGAATTAATTAATTAATTCACATTATAATGACTTTTTATTAGATTTAGGTGAAAGGGTTCTATTGGCAGAAATTAAATATGTTTATAAATAAATAATGTTTTTACTAGTGTGTGATTGTCTTAATTGTACAAAGAGCTGTTTTCTTTAACCTAGAATGGGTCCTTAATATTGAAATACTACTTTATTTAGGGTTAGTTTTGCCAACCGCCAATAAACCTAACAGAGAAGAAGAAGAAGAAAAAGTAGAGTGGGTCCTCCCTATGGAGGCTGCCATGTTTTTTCACAGTAGCCCAGTCTGGACAAACTCAACACCTTTTGAGTTTTTGTGACAACTGAAGTCTACCACAGCTTCTCTCTCGTGTTCGGAAGAGGAGGGTGAGGTGAGGGCTGTTCAGTTCATTCATTCATTTCCACTTCCCTGCTATTACTCCATATTTGTCATTTCTTTTTTCATCCTCTCGATTTAGCCACTTTGGGCCATGCACTGATTAAATAAGCTCTCTGATTGGCCATCACCTGACATGTCATATGTATGAAATGGGTCATGTGGGAAGGACACAATCAAGGTGGGTGTTTAGGACGTCTCCTCTCTAAAGTGTGGGCCTCATTTCCCTGCCTGTTTGGAAAGGACTTTTAGGTTGGCCTGTGATAATGCTGTGAAGTTACTTCAGAATTATCTCTTGTCATTAGTGAGCCCTCCTCACACATTCCTAAAACACACTGTCACTTATGATTGTTTGTTTGGTGTGTGTGTGTAGGCGTTCTATTAACAGCCCAGGGAAGGAAGTTGCCCTTTTAAATGCCTGATTCAAATAATTTAAATACAGTTTAAAAGGTGGAATAGCTTAAAAATCTTCTATGAATGTATTTTAGAATGACTTAGATATAGACTGTTTTATTTGTGTTAATGTAAGCCCCTTTTAAATGTTCAACTATTAATCAATGAAATGAACTTGGTCTAATTATTTATAGATCAATACATTGATTTGTGTACAAATGTATAAGTGCATCTTTTGTTGTATAATGAGTTATTAATGAAATGCTTAATTGTGATCGAAATTAGAGAATAAAATGTGGAATAAAAATATTGACCTCATGTATTTTACCAGTTTTTTTTTTCCGCTTAGTGTGCGGAAACGATGGAGGGGAATTACACCGACACCAGTGCTGCAGATGTTCCACCGTTTGTCCACGGACAGCTCGGTGATTGTCTGGAACACCGAGTACTGATGCTGGGAGCCTGCAGCCTTCACACTCACCGGGCAGGGAGGTCACGGCCACAGATCCCCGCACAGCCGCACCGGCGGGCGGCGAGCACACCTACCTTAGCATGGACAGCCCCCATGGTTGGAACCCGCTCTTTACGGCCTCTTCAGCGGGGGCTAGCTTCTCTGATCGACGGGGGAACTGGTAAATGACCACGGCTACTTTCTCCAGTACCAAGCCCCCTTCAAGGGAGACGCCATGACAGTCTGTGGGGGTGTGTTCGAGGACTGTTCCTAGAGTGCGTCAAAATGAGACTCCGGGAAGCAGAACAAGCGTGGTGCACCTCATCTCCTTCCACACTCCTGACTTATTGAATGGTAACTCTAGATCCATGCTCAATGCTTTACTAAATTAAATTGTAGGAGAAAAAATGACAGAATACATCATCAGCTATACAAATAGTAACAATAGCAGCAGAAATATTCAGGAACATAAATTAACACGGATCAAGACTCGGAAGAAGCCACAAGATTGTCCCCTTCAGTCCTAATCCATCAAACTAAAGTCACTAATTCCCCTCCACTCTCCCACTGATGTCCTTCACTGTTGTCTTCTTACATCCCTCTTCTTGTTTTCTGTCCCTCTCATCAACGATGTCTTTTAATGTCTTCTTAAACTCTCTGATTTCTACTTTTTTTTTTAATTTCCTCCCTCAGTCCATTCCACAAAATCACCCCACAGACTGATGGGCACATACTTTTGAGATTGGAGGATTGAAGTTTTGCAAAACCCGCTCTCTTGTGTATAAACATTATTAAGCATCACTGTACAAACTTCCTTTTGCTCCACTGACCAGCACCACGTCCAGTGAAAACTTCCGACATCTGTGGTGCTCTTAAAGGCATCACCGTGTCGCCTGTGCGATTGGATAGAAATGAATCAGTGGGTGGGGCCAAAGTCGCCCTTACGTCTTGTTGGAGCTTCTCCAGCAGATGGCGCACTTTCATTTCCCTTCAATCAGAGCGCAGATTGGACACAACGCGTGAGCATCATCGTTGGGTTTGGTGTGAGGACGTGTTTGTTCGATTCCCGCTCAGCTCCGTGCCTGAGTGCTGGAGCCGGGAAAACGCACCACAATGATAGACATAGTTGGTGTCTACTGATACACTGTGATTCCTCTGCTAGTCAAGTCTTTACATCTCAGAACAATGACTTCTTTGTTTGCATTTATCATTGAAATAAAAGCACAATTGACTAAATCACAACTAAATTGACCTGGAAATTTGCCTTTGAACTTGGTTCGGCTCAAAGGCAACAATGAGTGAATATGCGTGGTTATTACTATAATTCATTTAGGACCTAAGCATCACATCATATTTATTATTTAGACTGTGAAATGAAGAGATGGTTATTGAGCTTTGACATTGCTGAATTGTCTTGGTCGATTGTGTCTCTAAAAAAAATGACCAGTCAAGAATCTTTATATATTTACTGTACACACATAGATAGATAGATAGATAGATAGATAGATAGATAGATAGATAGATAGATAGATAGATAGATACTGTCTTGATCCTGATGGAACTTTTGGCATCTAGTAGCACACAAAACAGTCAAACACAAGAGCATGAGAATAATAAAAGGATGTTTAAATGTCCAGTGCATAATATTTAGGTGAAAGGGATCTATAGGCAGAAATTTAATATGAAATAATCCTAGTGATATTTTCACTAGTTTGTCTAAATCATACAAATTGTTGTTCTCTTTACCCTAAAATGGCTCCTTTCTATTTAAATACTTTGTATTTACATTTGGAGGGGGTCCTCTCTAAAGAGGCCGCCATGTTTTTTACAGTCAGACTGGACAAACTAAACACCTTTTTAGTTTTATGGCAACTGTGGGCTACCACAGGTTCTTTATGTTTGGAAGGGGAGGGTGAGGTGAGGGATATTCAGCTGCAATATGCAACTTCACCACTAGATATCACTAAATTCTACACACTGAACCTTAAAAGTTTTTACACCATGAGGGACGCACTGTTTCAGAAACTGAAGCAAATGAAGTAAAATGGTATCGTTCGGCTCCTTGAGGGCCCTAACCCCAGATTTTACCTCCTTTAGCAATCCATCTCACCAGCAGTTTTCTGACTCGACTTCCTCCAGAGTTTGCCTTCCACACATAAACAACGCAACAGGTGATTCTCCAAAATCTCCGATGCATTAAAGTGACGCAGAGGAAGGACACAACATATTATTTGCACTGTGGAGATCGCGTGTTTTTACATCTACACTTTATCGCGGCTTCTTACTAAAAGCCCTCTTGAAATAATTGCTGTATGACACAGCTTCTCATCCTGATATATTCGCTTTCTTTTTTTCCAGTATTGTGTCTTTCAGGTGTTACAAAACGTCATCAACACACCCACATCTCTTGCTGTGCTTCTCACATTGGCTTATTTGACGTTATCCAGAGTTTACTCTAAGGGCTGGCCGGGAAAAAACTCCGGAGAAGGTCTGGAAGCTCTCATTTGAACATTTTCCGTTTTCACATAATGGATCGGAGAATGTCCGGAGTATCCCCTAAGTTCAGAACGTATAGGATTTCTTTACAGTCGTACACCCTTAGCACCTCCACTCTGACGCTCCTCATCTCTCTCTCTCTCTCTCTTTCTCCCTCTCCCAGTGGCACAGACAAACCAATCAGAGAGCTCGGTTTGCCTCCTCTCTTTTCTGCTCTCTCTCTCTCTCTCTCTCTCTCAGAGACCCACACACACACACTCACACACACACACACACACACACACACGCACAGTCCAAACCCCCAGGAAAGCCCCGCTGAATCCTCACACCGTCTGTCAGCATGGGGAGCGCTTGTTTTTCCCGGGACGTTTGTTTGTTTATCCTCCTCATAAATACTTGCAGGGTGATGGGGAATGTCGGACTCACAGGTAAGAGCTGCCCTTTCCTCCGTCTCGCTGTGTCGTCCGCCGGCACTCGCACCTTTTGCCGGTGTCTCCGCGTTACCGGCGCAAAAAGGGGAACATGATGGAGACATGAGTGAATGACTGTTCCATTTATTCCAATCATCATTAGGCCACTTTAAGATGCGCATGAACTAACCCCGGCATGTCCCTTTTAAACGATCATCATGTACTTTGTGACATTTCATTTGTATCCGCTTTAATTTAACAAGAGCATTGCAGTGATGCAAAAAAAAAAAAACTGTTAATGGCACTGGAAAGTCACATTTACGCACTGTTTCCACACGATAGACAGAGCAGGCATTTCACTTTGAATTCGCTCGTTTCGTAAATAACAGCCCCGATTAATTAAATGCCAGAGTCTTAGTGGGATCTCAGGTTTGCATCACAGTTTTTTCCCGAGCGGCGGTTTACCAGCTTGCAGACTTCACTGGAACTTCTGTTTCCTGCGCGCAAACGTCAACTTGAATGGGAAACCGCAGCCCGATCCCTTGGTTGCACACTCGTGTGAGAGGGCGGACTGTTTTCACATTTCACCGTCTGGAAACGGTGGGTTTAGAGCCGCTAGAGAGCATCTTGTCTCTGGGTTTGAGGGCCTGTCTGGAGCCGGAGGATTGTGTGTGTGTGTGTGTGTGTGTGTGTGTGTGTGTGAGGGGGGTCTAACTCCCAGGAGGGACAGGCAGGCAGCATGGGCCCAATATCGACCAGGCAGCAGCACATTGTTCAGCCTCCCACCTCTGTGAAAGGGTGAAGAGTCAATACTGAGACAGTGAGGACAGTGGGAGCACATCCCCTCCCCTCCGCCCTTGGCTTGGGCTGCAGCACTGGACAAATATTTATTGTATATTCAGTTCTATGGTTTACAGACAGAGAGCAGAGGCCGAACCACAGGCTGCTTCCATCCCACAGGCCTGACGCACACCAGCTTTTTATACCCTAAAGGAAGCATCGGGGGATTTGAACAGGGATGCAAAGGTGTGCTGAATAGGAGGAAGCTGGGGAACTCTGTCTCCAGCCCCCCCCCCCTCCCTCTGTGTGTGTGTGTGTGTGTGTACACTGTGTAATGAGTTGGTCCTCTGCCCTGGGATTAAGGCCCAGATGTGACCAACTCTTCTATCAATAACCTGATCATTTGGGGAGCTGTTAAACCCTCTATTCTCCGGATGTTGTTTGAGGCTGGACCTTGACCTTAGACCTCTTTCTCACTGTCATACAAAAGGGCCAGCGATTCTCTCTGACACTTTTAGGATATCATGGGACTGATTGATTGGAAAAAGCTAATGCGTCCTGGGTGATGGATCACAAGTGGACAAATCTATGTACAGGTGGGACCACACCCAAGAAACTTTGAGGACATATTCGAGATCTGATCACTCAGGCCACATTCAGAAGGGGTCTGGTGCGCATGTGGCCACATTCTTTTAGCAGTGTGTGTCCTGGGCCACCGTGACGGACCGCCTACTCATCTGACATCCTCTGACATGATGACCTAAATGGCCATCGCCACAAATTGATTTTCTATTTCTTAAAATGGGTAAATTTGTTGTTTCATTATAAAGCTACATGGATTGATTCACTCTCTCTCCCCTGCTCTCTAACTCCATCACACAGACAAACACTAACACATTTTCAGACTGCTTAAAAAATGCGGTCTTTGTGAGCAGAATGGATGTATGTTTCTATTCACATATAGAGAAGGAGAGTGAGATCTGATCACAAGTGGCTATTGGAGACACATGTTAATGCTGCGTGTGAACTGACAAACTGAGAGCTGTCCACTTTTAATCAATCAATCAAATCAAATCTTATTTGTATAGCTCATATTCACAAATCACAATTTGTCTCATAGGGCTTCAGGTCCGACATCCTCGATCCTTAACTCTCAACGAGAGTAAGGAAAAACTACAAAAAAAGCCCTTTTAACAGGGAAAAAACTATCAGCTGTCACCATAATCCACAATCCACTGTCATGATCCACTGCCTCCATCAGGATTCCCCATCGTGATCCTATAGCAGTATAACTAAGAGCAGGTCCAAGACAAGCCTGGACCAGCTCTAACTATAAGCTTTATCATAAAAGAAGGCTTTAAGCCTACTCTTAAACGTAGAGAGGGCGTCTGCCTCCTGAACTGAAACTGGGAGATGATTCCGCAGGAAAGGAGCTTGATAGCTGAAAGCTCTGGCTCCTTATCTACCTTTAGAGACTTAAGGGACAACAATGCCGAAATTCTGGGAGCGCAGTGCTCTAGTGGGGTGATATGGTACTATGAGCTCTTAAAAGTAATCTATGATGGTGCCATATTATTAAGAGCCTTGTAGGTGAGGAGGAGAATTTTAATTTCCATTCTAAATTTAACAGGAAGCCAGTGTAGTGAAGCTAATACAGGAGATATGTGATCTCTTTTCCTGGTTCTTGTCAGGACACGTGCTGCAGCTTTTTGGACAAGCTGCAGAGTCTTTAACGACTTACTGCTGGAGCCTGATAATAAGTTATTACAATAATCAAGTCTGGATGTAACAAAGGCGAGGACTCGTTTTTTTTATTCAGCCTTTTATTACTTTAATCGTATAAGCAATTACTCTTGCTCTACCAATAGTCATAAAAACCTGAGGTAGATGAAATAAGAATTGCCTTTTTAAATAAAGATCTAATGACTGCGCTTGAAGATAGTGCTTTGGTAGTTACGACTATAATGAATCCAGACTGACATAAACACTGATGAGTCAGGCTTTTGTGTTAAGTGCACACAACAAATGTGCTTCAATCATCCTAGATTTTATTTAGAAAATAATAATAATCATGGTGTAACCCAGGATATTTAAATATACCTAGTTACAGATGTTGCTTAAATGTATCGCCTTAAAGGTCCAGTGTGTAAGATTTAGGAGAAAATAATTTATTGGCACAAATTGAATATAAAATAACCCTAGGGATGTCTTCACTAGTGTGTTTCATCAAAATTGTATTAATAGTTGTTTTCTATACCTTAGAAAAGGCCCTTTATATTTAAATACTTTATATTTACATAGAGGGCACCCTCTCTACAGAAACTAAACACCTTTTGAGTTTTTATGACATCTGAAGGCTACCACAGGTTCTCTGTCATGTTTGGAAGGGGAGGGTGAGGTGAGGGGTGTTCAGCTGCCACATGCAATTTCACCACTAGATGTCACTAAATTCTACACAGTGTACCTTTAAGCTATTAGAAGTCATGTAGCTTCCTGAAGTCCCTTAAATGCATCACCTGCAAACTTTCGGTAGGTGCTGCTAAGCGACTGCACACAGTAGCACACAGCTACCGCAGAGCGTGTGGCAAGACGTACACTACACCAAATGAGGCATTCATTTTGATTCGAGGGGGAGGCAGGGCCTTGCTTATTTGCGGGGCCCTACCACGTGAGCAGTGAGCGAACAGGGATATCCGACTCTAATGTTCAGAAGAAATATCGCTTTCCTCACACTACCCATTGGTGCAGTAACTCTTTTCAGCCTCTGTCAGAAACGTTTGGTTTTAGCTCCTGTCCTTTTAAAGCCTGCCTCCCACTCTACTGTGATTGGTCAACCGCTTTCAATGTGTCCACTCTTGCTTAACCTGGATTTTTAGGTTTGCATTATGCAAATGGGATCGTGATGTTATACGACTTCACCTACAGAATCGGCTCTACTACTGACGAGGGGCATAAGAAGCAATGCTTTCTGTGGGCGAGGAGAGATTTTGCAGACCTTTTAAAAACACAAAAAACATGTTTTATCACTATAAGGGGAAAAATGAAAAAGCATAATATGTCTCCTTCAAGTAAAAGATCCCAAGAGACTAGGATGTTGATCTTCTGTCTGTACAGATGCAGATGAGTGTGCAGAGGGTTCAGACGACTGCCACATCGATGCCCTGTGCCAGAACACGCCAAAGTCCTACAACTGCATCTGCAAGCCGGGCTACAAAGGAGATGGCAAGCAGTGTGAGGGTGAGTGACCTTCCTTCCTTAAGACTCTCCTCTCCCCTCCCCTCCTCTCTTTTCACCTTTGTCACTAGCATCATGCTCTATAGAGCCTATACATGTGTAGGCTTCCCTTCATTGGAGCTGGAAACACTTTTGCAGCATATCCACTACTGTATGAACTGTATTGCCAAATTAGTGCATTCACCTGGGTTTCATGTGCTGATAAAACCCACATGTCTGCTGCAGTCATTTGAGCTGGGAGTAAATGCATATTGAATCCATTCCCACTGCAGACAAATACTTGATGTCAGTGTTTGTTGGAAGATCTTAGATTACAGCTTGGAGGATCGGGAGTAATATAACTGGGGGCCAGACTGTGCTGAGATTTAAAAGTTATCAGAAGAATCTTAATCTTAAGAATACTAAAAAATTTAACCTAAATGTAACATGTAAACAGTGCATTGCAGTAGTCCAGGCGTGAGAAGACAAAAGTGACTCTAAGTGTTTCTAGGTCTAGCTATACATTCATTTCCCTAGAAGAACCGCATCATCTGGTTTAAAATATAAGTAAATATGCACATCATCCGCACAAATTAAAAAAACTGATAATGTTTCCTGCTGGAAGTCTATGAAGGGAAAATAAAACTGGAGAGAGTAGAACCCTGTGGTATGTTAGCGGAGCTGAAATATGAAAATTCTCTATTTAAGGGCAGTTGAATGAATAATCTATTGAGAAGGAGGTTCTGTATAATAACGTACCACATACTCAGTTTGGACTTGGATAAGGATATGGGCCAAAAAACCTTGAGTGGGCCATCCCTAGTTGCCACAATCAGACTGTCCCATCAGATAAAGTCAAACGTGAGCAAGAACGGGGCCTATGATGTAACAACGGCTTTGACAGCTGTTTCAACCCCCCAACAAGTTCTCCTAATTAACAGGGAGGAAGTGTACTGAGCGTGGTGTTAGGGTGAGACGGGGGCAGTGCCTGGCTGTGCATTCACACCTCCACTCACTTCTGCCTCAAAGCACACCACAGCTGGAGCCTGCCCACTCTCTCTCTATCTGTTGTTCTCAATCCTACCTCACTCACACACACACGTACTGTTGGGTCCACTGCACACGATAGAGACAGAATGTCTTTCTATAAGCGATGCTCCAGTGCTTTTACATTTACAAAACTGGCTGGAGATTGAAGGATCGTTTGGTCAACTACGACATGGGTCTTATTTTTGTAGTTTTGTCCGTCATTTCCGTCAGCTACAATATGATGCTTGTCACGATAGTATTTAGAAATGGATGTTAAAGCTGGAGGTGTATTCCAACAATGCACTCTTTGCACTTCCAAATCTTTTTTCATCACCTTGATAGGCGCCTGTCAGCTCCAGCGAAAGAAAACAACAAATCAATTCCTGTGAGAAACGTCACCTGCAGGAAACCAGCGTTAGAATCAGTGTGTAAATTACAATTATCACCCAGGAACCCCATGGATGTTTAAATGAACTCTTCTCTAAACTGATTTATTTATATTCATCTATTAGTGTGTCATGTAAATATTGAAAACTGAAGAGCTTCAAGGAAAATGTGAGCTGCTGATGCATGAATACCAGCACCGGTTATAATTCAGCTTATTTATGTCCTATCCTATAAACTTGCTGCTATTCAAGAAATAATTTTACGTTATAAACTTTAAATCTTTCAGAACAACATCCCAGTGTAAGAAAAGCACAGTCAACATTAATCTCAGTGTCCCATCAGAGGATTAAATCATTTATGAAGGAGTCAGCTGTGCATATTACATTTTTGGAGCAAGTGTGTGTCTGTACTATTGAGTTGGTCTGAACAAGAGAAAACAGCAGAGGGAATGATTTGCTGCCCGGACTACCTGGCAGAAGGTCAGAGCAGCTTCGGTCAGCGTAGTGGTCAGGTCACCGGTCTTATGTGTCAGGTCAGGTCGGGTCCAGAATTGATTAAAGACGCAGGTGGCCAGCTGATACTGAGCTTTGCGGGTGCGCAGGGGGTTTGTGAAACTGGAGCCTAGAAAAGCAGGTGTCGTGACAGAAGTTGAAATGTTTTTCACACGTCTGTCACATTTAAGCTGCTCTTAAAAAATACACTGAACTCCAGACAGAGGCTGTATGTGAGAACGCAAATGTCAAAGTCAGTTGCTCCGGACGTTTTCCAGGAACTTTTCCGGCAAGTCTGGGAAATGTGATAAAAATAACTGAATGAGCCCATGTGAGAATGCTGGATGAAAACGCCCAGAGAATCACAGTGAGCGTGTGTGTAAAAGATTTTAACATGCAATATAAAAAATAAAAAACGAAACAATACAACTATCTCTGAATGACAAAAAGACATGTGATTTCTGCAGGGGAATTTATACATAATTTCCTGCCACCTGCATTCTCTGTGTTCCAGACATTTTCTCCTGCTGGGTTCTTTATATGTGAAAGGAGGGCTCTGGACCCAATTTTGTAGACATTTTTCAAAATAACAAATGTGCTTGCACCCATCTGAGTGCATGGTCTATTGGTCTTAAAATGCAGCGTGGTCAGCAGCATTGTCGGCGCATTGATATCTTGTGGCTGTGGAAAGTGATTAACCAACAAAAATCCGGTCAGAAGTGAGTTGTACAGTGTACTATTATTTTAAAGATGCATTTTTAAAATACAAATTCATACACAACCTACACTGTCTCTCCCCACATAACGCATGATTTGCGGTTATCAGGATAATGTCAGGTTTAATTCAGAGATTTCAGCTCTACGAAGCTTGTTGACTTCTTATTGGGATGAATTTCCCATGGTACTTTATGTTGAATGGCTAACCTGCTGTGGAGCAGATTAAATCCGAGATAAGAAATAAACTCATATAAATGCAACGCCTACTGACCAATCAGTTCCTTTGAAACATAGCACATAGGTCGTCATTCAGACAATGAGAATACATGTACATTTCACATTAATGGAATGAAAACACAAACCAAAAAATTATAGTCAGATCTACTTGCCCTAATCAGTTTTGCTATAATAAACATTCACACAACACATACACATTCATACAATCTGCAATTCTTTTGCTGGCTGTCCCTCCTGCATTTAGCAGCTGTAACCATGTTTCTTTTAGTCTGAATAATGTGTTTGTACTCCTCGTATTTTTCTCCTCCAAACATGCAGCTCCTCTGCCAGTATGCTTGATTGGTCATAAGCAGTGAACACTGTCTCTTTTATGTCCACACACTCATATCTAGTTTAGGAAAAACTGGGTTGACTTTGATCATTGAACAATGTTGCCCTAAGTATATGGGAAACTGGTCAACAAAGCCAGTGCCTGGGCAAACCTTTTAGAACTACACTCTGCTTTTATTTGATGTTTTGATATCCATAATAAGATATATTTGTGGTTTTAAGTGCCCCTACATCCAACTCACTTTCCTGGGTTTGCTATACCCAGAGTGCAATGAGGTCCGCAAGGGGGCTATGTGTGATGACAGAATCTATGGGGGACATCAGGGAAGTGGGACAGCAAGAGTCGAATGAGGCAAGTGGAATACCAAGACGAGGAGAGGGAGGGAAAATGGGATTCAATGGAATTTGTTGGCACTGCAGACAGATGGCGATATAAGGGTGAGTGCATGGAAGGACTGTCTAACGACGGTGGCGTGATGACAACATGGTCGGGAAATTAGGGTGGAAATATGCTTGGCCTGGTTCGCAGTTACAGACACCAGACTGTCAAGCAGTTTATAATTTTGTTTTAGAGTTCTGTGAGTAAGTCAGCATTTAGTCGATGCACAGCCACAATTACAGCTGATTTTCAGTCTAAGTGTAATGCATACAACCTGACAATGGGAAACAGCAAGATGAAAATAGTCAAACAATTGGTTGAAGAAAATCATTCAATTATTGGAATGTGAGATTAAAGATTTCCACCTTGGGTTAAAAAGGGCTGAAGTGAAATCAGAAATTCTCAGTTTCTGTGCAGGGAGGATGAAAAAACCTTTAAAACAAGTCCATGCAGAATTTCTATTTGTAGCAGCCTTTAATGATTGTAATTGATTTCCACATCCAGCAATTATGGAGCAACCAGAAGATTCTGTAACACTTTATATTAGGGAACACACAAAGTGAACATATCCAAGCACTTGATCGTAATTCATGTACAACAACTTCCTTACTTACCATCAATAAGCAGTAATCAGGAGGTTATTAAAGGGAAAACTGTTAATCAATGGAGTAGTTGCAGCATAAGGTCATTAAGAATAAAGCATTAATAAGTGCTTTATAATGACTAATAAAGAGCCAATATGCCTCTAATATCCATGCTAATAAGCAACTAGTTAATGGCTTATGTGTTCCCTAATATAAAGTGTTACCGATGATTCATTTGGTTTGGTCTTTAATAAATGAAGTCTACTGTTCCCTCTGTTTGAGCTGTTTTTGGTCTCCATCCCCTCCTGAGGGAAATCTGTCCGTGTAGCTGCTAAATGTTCCACTTTGTTCACCAGCTGATCTCTTATTGAATCTATCTGGTGTTTGCTGCTGTGCAGGTAGAAGATGGTGATCTTTTTACAGCCGAAAACTGCTGCTGCTACGAATGACCCCTATGAGAGCAGTTAGAATGGAACAAAACAGAACAGTTGTGGTGCTGCTGGTTCATCTGATGATTCAACAAGTAACCCCTTACACATGGTCACATTGTTTTCACTCTGTTGTTTGATGTGTTGTTCAAGAGTCAATCACATGAACACATAGACTAACAGGTTAACCTGGATGGGACGTCACAACTTCAGCTCTTTTTAGAGCATTTTCCACTCACTGCAGTGTGTTTTCTTTTTTTTCTACCATCTGTGTGCGCTGCTATCAATGTCAGTTTTGTTTTGGATTGTGATTGTGTTTATTACAGTGGACACACACGCATAGTCGAAACGAGGTGTCCCGAACAGCAGCTGCTCCTCTGTCCTCTGAGAGGAGACATCAGGAATATGATCTTCCTCCCCTGTTGTCTGAGCTGACCTGCTC